ACCATTTTGCTGCGGCACATCAGGAGTTCAGAAAACGGAGAAACGCCCGTAACAAACGATCAGGAAGACAAACATCCGACTTCACTTCCTCCTGTGGATAGAGGGTTTGGTGCTTGGTCATTTGTTTGTGGCCAATATCTTTGCATTTATAGAAGTTGCTGATTGAAGTGTAGCTACTCGCCGCGTTCTTCGTGGAAAATATTGTTTGGGGGTTCCCTAATTCTTTTGGTGTCTTTCTCGATGCATACCTCCACGATTCGACATACTCTACCCAACCTCATGCCTTCTCTTTGCTTCCACTGATTGGCACGCTCACAACTGGTATCATTTATTGTTCCGGTAGGCATAAATAATCTTTTCATAACATCTAACTGATTTGAATAGGCCCATTCACCTATCCACTTATTTATCGATACCCCAAGTTGAGACGCCTTTCGCTTTGGATCGGTGCAATCATTTGCTGGGCCAGCCTTTTTGCGGTAAGCTATACTACAAAGGTGAGGATTTAATCTTTTCTAGATAATAGCTTATGTCATTAGGTCACTCACCTTGTTTTATGTCAAGGGGTTCTGTATGGAATCGGAGGCAGTAAGATTCCAAACTATAGAGGCTCTTCATTTGAACCTCACCCCTTTAATCTAGCGATGCTTTATAATCCTTGTCTCTCATACATGTCGGAGTGGTTCGTCGCTCGGAGAGGTCTCGCCAACGGGGTCATCAACGCTGGGACGGCAACGGGCGGCCTTGTACTTCCATTGGTCCTACCAAGTATCATCGAGAAGCATGGCATTTCTAAAACCTTGAGGATATTAGCCATCGTATTTGCCGTAATGCTGGTACCTCTGTTGCCTTTAATGCGTGGAAGACTGCCTTCTTCAAAGGTCAGAGTGCCACCTGCCCGTAATGGCGAAGTGTCGAGAGGTTGGATGAAGCATAGGAACTTCCATTTCTTAATGCTCATCAATACACTACAGGGACTCGGTTGGTCGCTCTCTCTCATAAAAAGGTGTTCAACTGAGCGGATGAAAGGATATTTTGTCCCGTTGGTCTGGCTGCCAAGTAAGTCCACCTTACAAATACTATCCACCGTTTGTTCTGAATCGTTTCTTCTCTCTAGCCTTCGCTAGCGAGATGAATCTTAGTCCCTCTAAGGCGTCTCTTACGTTGGCTATGCTCAATGGTGAATGCCCGTACAATATATAGTTAACCCTGTCTAACTGATCACGCAATAGCTGCTCAAGTTGTTGGACGACTATCAGCCGGCATGCTCTCCGACCGCGTAGATCCATGGCTTCTCTCCTTTTCGACACTTGTGGGAACATGCATGGCCACGTTCATCCTCTGGGGAGTATTGAGTCACTCTTTGGCTGGGTTATTAGCCTTTGGTCTGGTATATGGCTCTTTAGCTGGCGGGTGGTCGAGTGTGTGGACAGGTTTCATTCGTCGGATCGTTCGTGAGTACCGCCTTTTACAATCTCTAGTATTGTTTGGCTTTAACAGAATAATAGATGAGGATCCTAGACTATCGACTACATTCATGGGCTATCTAATGATGAGTCGTGGTCTTGGGAACATCCTTTCGACTCCTATTTCCACCGCATTGGCCTCCCAGCGCGGAGGAGTTCACCATCAAAACAGATTTGGATTCGATGTTGGAGGGGGCAAATTTGAGAATGTCATTCTCTATGCTGGGTCTTGCTTTGCTGCGGCTTCTCTTATTGCGGGTATCGGTTGGGGTGTCGACTTGAAGGTGCTAAAGCGCATCAGTGGTACAGGTCATATGGAGATGTCCTGATATTTCGGAAGGGATGACTGATAGGATTTGCTTGATCTAATAGGAGAGGCGTATTCTCTACAACAAGCCCAGTTTCTAGAATTCGGAGTGATAATATAAAATTGACTACCTGCTTCTTATAAATGTATGATCACCAAGTTCCCTGGAACGAAGGAAATATGGAGAAAAGGTATCAAAGGCACAACCCAGCTGCCAGATCCGTTAGCCCGAGGCTCATACATCTCTTGCGACGAGCAAATGTACGCGAAGATACCATAATATTAAGCTCTGGACTAGAAGTTCTGCCAGAACAACCCGCTGCAAGAATTCTTGGTCGAATACACAAAGTACATTGAGGTGCTACTAGCTTCACGGTACACCATGTTCTCCCTTCAGGTTCAGCGTCTCCTTGAAGCAATAAAGTGGCCAGGATGGTGCTCTGTGCGCGAAGTACTATGAAGGGCGGTGGTGATGATGGTAAGCTGAGCCGCGAGGACAAACTCGGACACGACCACATTCTATCCATAACCACACGCCATGGGAGACTCCAACTTTTTCAAGGGAACTTCTACAGACCAAGATAGGCGATTTTCTGACAAGGAGCTCAAGCTACTCAAAACTCTGAAATTTCCTCCTGAATTTGACCAAAAAGTAAGCAGTGCCTATTCGACGAAGCATGGACTGAGTATCGCTAACCTGTTTCCGCATGATTTTCAGGTGGATATGAGAAAAATTAGATTGGAAGTCTTGAAACCTTGGATTGCTACACGCTTCACTGAAGTGAATGGCTTCGAAGACGAAATAGTGTCATCGATGATTATTGGACTGTTGGAGGATAAAGACAATCCAGTATGCATCCTTTTCTGATCAAGGGAGATCTTTTGAGGCTCATTTAAAGCACAGACTCCAGATCCTCGCAAAATCCAGATCCAAGTCCAGGGGTTTCTACACAAAAAGACGCCTGTGTTCATGTTGGAGCTGTGGAAGCTCCTTCTAGATGCTCAAAGTAATCAACATGGAATTCCACAGTCAATGATTGATGAACAAAAGGCGAAATTTACGTCCAGTGGGGGTGATACCAAATCTCGGTTTGACCAAGGTCCCCCTCCCGACCGGCGAGGAGAATACGGTCCAGGAAGGGGAGGCATTGGCTCCGAAGGCCGTGGAAGAGGCAGAGGTTTCGGGGATCGCGATAACCGTGGTAGGGGGCGTGGTGGCTTCCGGGGTAGAGGGCGATATGATGATGGTCCTCGAAGGAGATACTCTCCCGACAGACGGTCTCGCAGTCCAGATCGTAGGAGAAGACCCTATACATCGAGATCTCGTTCACCTCCTCGCCGTGGGTATGGCTCCCCTCGCAGAGGTTACTCCCCAGGAAGACGAGGCGGTGGCAGAAGGTCCCCATCTCCTTATAGGAAAGGAAAGCCACGTAGTAGAGAAAGTAGCGTGACGTCTTCGCGGTCATCTCGATCGCGGAGAAATAAACAGCCCCGCAAACGCTCAAGGTCCCGGTCGGGCTCGAGGTCTCCGCCAGGGCGTCGTCCTCAAAGATCCTCCTCTCGCTCTTCGATGTCGGTGGATCGGCGCTCCCCAAAGAAGCCCGGGAGATCTCGTTCTAGAGATGGAAAAAGAAGGCGAAGTAGAAGTAAATCATATTCGCCTGGTAGGAGAAGAAGCAGGAGTGCAAGCCCTCGAAGATATTCTCGAAACACGAAAGGCAAGGATCGTCGATCTCCTTCCTATTCACGCTCAAGATCTAGGTCCCGTTCAAGGTCGGTAGACCAGCGACGTCGGGGCCGTTCGTTGTCCAAGACCCCTCCTATGAAAGGTCGTGCCAAATCTCCATCTTCAATCTCAGGATCTGGAGTTAAAGATACTATGGACGTGGATGTGAGCGCTGCTTCCTAAAGCCCCACTCATTATGATTGTTGATGGCAATTGAAGCACGATCCATCACAAAAATTGCCTGTCGACCTTGACCGATTGGAAAGTGAAGCAAAGGAGAAGATACTACGTGCAAAGGCCTTACGCTCTCGACAAAATGCCTCAAATAAATGAAAAAAAAAACCTGTGATCATGGAATCCTCCAAACTTTTCTTGCCGTATAACCCTGCTATTTTCTCATCTCTTTTTTATACCAAAACTCACGCATAGTCCATCCTCGTGCAGTGTATGTGATTCTCGCGCCTCGCCCTATGCAAAACCTTTTTCACGGGCATGCTGGATTTTGCTAGTGATAGAAGCACCATTGCCTATAGCCGATCGAAAACCATGGGAAAATGGGCCAACTTCGTAAGTCACTTGACTTCAACACGATTCTAGTGCAAAATTATGGACGATGTATCTCGATGCCGATTGTTAATAAAATAACGATTTTGCCATTTCTTGCCACTCCTCGTGCTAACCTGAGAAGTATCGACACAAATTTCGAATGTTGTACAAGATCCTGTATACAGATATACTTGCGAGCTGACAATAGCTGAGGTGACTACCAAGACATATCCTTCCTATTCTCATCTGAAAGCTCTGTCAGCACATCACAAGATAGGAGTCAAACGTTGTCACTCACGCATCTTCTTTTCTCTTTCCGCCTGTAGAATCTTCTTATTATGTTCGTTGAGCATGTCCACATATGGCTTTATGCTCGTACTTTCCCAGCCTGTAGATAATCGGGATGAACCATCAGCAACTGTATAATTCTGAATCGTGCCAGATGCTTACCTCCAGCGGTGCCCTCTTCAGAAGTAGTTTTGGATGAGGAATCCAGCTCGCTCAACAGTTGAGCTACAGTGGGGACCGTTTCTGGCTCAAATTGTGCTACCTGCTTGGGATCAACAGGAACGCATACTCTTCCTAATTTAATAAGAGTAGAAGGATGGTTAGATGTATATCTTATGTTTAAAGCATGCACTTACCTGTTGCAGGATGGACACAGAAAGGCGCCTTTAACAAGTGGTTTCGGTGTTTAGACACCTCTGCGTCGACGCGTGGATATGTATATTGCAGGATAATGTCCTCCATAGCAGCTGTTAATACGGCCTGTATTACTTGTGAATAAGGTTCACCTTGTTGATATATTCAACTCACCCGTCTAGTAGATGTTTTCGGGACTTGCTTGATCTCCTTCTTCAAATCTTCCCATCTACAGGCACTTGTTGTTTTGTCACCTCGGTTCCGACGTCTCTGCCTCTCATATTCTTCATCATCATCCCAATTCTCCTTCAGAGCAGCGGCAACTTCGCGATCTGGAATCAACTCGACTAGTGTCTCCCAACCTTTACGACTTTTGAAGCAGTCTTGATCCGTCAATACAATATTTGCAAAATGTTCCGCACTGAGGGTGCCCACCGAGCGAGCAAGAGAGTGGGTAAGTTGACTAACTACATATCCTCATTGAGATGACGGTTTATTGGGGATATATAGACATACCTTCTCCAGTTTTCCCCATTGTCATACGAACATTAACCTTTTTGACCATCTCCTTACCCCCTTTTACGACTTCGATCCAACCCATGATTGCTCTTCGCTGTTCGTCGGTGAGATTCATGGCTGCCTCGTCGGAAACCCAGCAATGAATACCACGTCGACCCGAGTAGACCCACAAGAGCAAGCTGTGATAGAATCAGACGGTTTTATATGGTTGTTATGACGTGCACCTACTTGTAACCAAAATCTTTCCGCAATGTCTCATCCAACACGTCTACAGCAGCGGCTATGAACTGCCAGCATTGCCGGCATATATTCTTGTCCGAACAGCAAGTACGTATAGTGTCGTAGTCCGTCATATCAATATCAAATACTAGCTCACGGCGCACCGGTTGCAATGCGGAGGCCAATGTTTTCTTATCTCTTGGCTATGGATCATGTCTGGAAAGTCAGATAGATACTGGTACCAGGAGAGGCTCCTACTTTTGCATTATAAATTGCTCCAACCTCGAATCTTGTAGGAAGCAGTTTTAATACTTGTTTCTTGAATTCGTCAGCGTCTTGAAAGCTATTATAGCGCAGATACACATCATCCTTGAGAGTAAATGCGAATTCTCGATTGTTCCAAGCAGGTATAAATCTACTTGCGCCAGTTTGTGGACCGGATATAGGGTTCGTGTGCGAAAGCCACGTATAAATGGATCGGAAAGGGTATAATCGATCATAAAAGGCTGATAAAACCTCTGGCGGTACTAGCGAACTAGAGACTTTTCATCAATAGTCTGGAGATAAAATTGATTTCTTCCGCTTACTCGTCCTTCCAGTCCATCAGGGTCGATTACTCAATTCGAAAGGGATGTCAGGCGGTGGCAGCGTTGAAGACGCGTTTTGTCGGAGTTGGACCGCGTCGACGCGGGCAAAACAGACACAGTGAAAAATGTCTAAACAACCACCAAAACAACGCACGCTCGAGTTCTTTCTATCGAAACCAAAGCAAAGTCAGTCCAGCAGTACTCAACCCGCAAAGAGCACGCCCTCTGCCGCAAGCGACAAATCCCAGTTGGCAGCCTCAGGTTCGAAAGATGGAAAGAGTGGCGTCTCTAATACACAGTCAGCATCAAATGCTAATGTAAAAGAAGTCTCTTCGACATCTAGTGAGAGATGGCGTACTCAGCTCAACTCATCAACAAGCGTACACAATTCCAAGGAGCGAAGTACTTCCCCAGTAACTCCTTATGGCTTCTCGTCTTCGCGAAGCGTTGCGAGCGATGCCCGATCAGTTGCTAGTAATGCATCGCGAGAAACCCCTCCCACTAGTGAAATTATGGACCCCATGGAAGAGGATGAAGAAGAGGATTTCCAACCTGTGAGTATTCTATCAACCCAGGCATCGTCGGCTCATTTGCTGATACTGTCTCAATGATAGAAACGGCTTAAACGCAAACTCTCGATTCTAGCACTTTCAGACGAGGAAGAGGATCTCCCTGCCAAAAAGGGTTCCAATATCACAAAGAAGGCCCTCTCTACTAGCACCTCTGAAAAGGCGAAAGAAAATGTAAAAGCCACATGTATGCATTCATTTGAACGTGCAACCATGTCTTCAGCTGCTGACCTTTCATCCCAAAGCGCGACCTACCAAGCGTCGTAAAACTTCCGATTATGACGACGACTTTGTTGTACCCGACGATGAAGAAGAGGACGAGCCATTCCTCGTCGATTTAGATGCGTCCGACGAAGATATTGGAACCTCAAGGTTGACCAAAGGAAAGAAGGCCTCTAAATCTACAGAAAGTCTTGATTTCATCGACGACGATGATGACGACGTCGTACCATCGAAAGGCAAAGGCAAGAGTAAAGGCCGTCCGTCGATCTCTCATGCCGCGTCTTCCAGTGCGAGTACAGGAGGACTAGGAATTCTCACCGCGGCTGAACAGAGGATGCAAGCCCAGAAACAAGAAAAAAGCGAAGCTGAGAAGCCGTACGATTTCCTGCAAGAAGTTAAAGACGTAGGTCCTTCATTATTATTCTGCCTTTCAACCGATCTAAACCATACGATGCAGAAAGACGGAAAACGTCCTGGGGAGGAGGGTTACGATCCTAGGACGCTATACATACCGAAGGGTGCTTGGGGGAAGTTTACACCTTTCGAGGTGCAGGTAAATCGATTATTCAACCCTTTAAATAATTTCATTAACCCATCTTTGACAGTTCTGGGAAATCAAGCAGAACCATTACGACACCGTACGTCCAACTCCACAAACTGCTTGGCAACTCGATTGCTGATCTTGGGAATAGATACTGTTCTTCCAGAAAGGAAAGTTCTACGAGTTGTATGAGGATGACGCTCGAATTGGCCATCAAATCTTTGACTTGAAGTGAGATGGCTCCATGGTTTCCCTTGTTCTCACTGACGTTTCCTTTAGGTTGACTTCACGTGTTAAAATGTCTATGGTCGGCGTACCAGAGATGAGCTTTGACTTTTGGGCAAATAAATTCCTAGCACGAGGCTACAAAGTCGGCAAGGTAGAGCAAGCAGAGACTAGTATTGGAGCCGAGATGAGGACTGCAGCTGATAGTAAGGGTAGGTAGACTGCCCCTCGGCTCCCTGTCTGTGTCTTAGCTTCATGTCGATTGCTAACTTTATGCGTTTAGGTAAAACTGCCAAAGCTGATAAGCTTGTCAAACGCGTGCTCAATAAAGTATTCACGAACGGAACTTTGATGGACGGAGAGTATTTGAACGATGAAGAAGCTGGGCATTGCGTATCTCTTAGGGAACAAGGCGATAACAAATTTGGTCTAGCTATATTGGACAGCTCTACGTCCGAGTTCAAGCTCAGTTCCTTTGAGGACGATCCTTGTCGTACCAAGTTGGAAACCCTTTTGAGACAGCTGCGACCAAAAGAAGTCATCATTAGCAAGGTATGGTCTATTTTTTGTTTTTATGGTAGAACCACGATTGACGCTCCCATAGGGAAACTTGTCCATCTCAACCAACCGCCTGCTCAAGAATATTCTTCCAGGAACTTGTACCTGGACCTCCTTGCGCTCAGTCGAAGGTTACGATTATCAGACGACCCTGAAAGAGTTGGGGAATCTTTACCCAGCTGAAGGTGATATTGACAATGAAGACGCAATTGCTGCTTTGCCTGAAGCTATTCAGTATATGATTAGCGACGAGACGACAATTGAAGCACTTGGATCAATGATATGGTTAGTATACATGTGGCATAGAATACAAATCTGACCAAAAGTGCTCTATTTGCAGGTATCTACGAACGCTCAACATCGACTCGGCCTTGCTATCAGCCAAAAACTTTGACATTTACGATCCAATGCGTAAGGGCCAAGGACTGGTTCTTGACGGCCAGACCCTGGCCCATATCGAAGTATGAAAGAAGCGACTGTTCTTCATTTTATTGATTTTTGCTAGGTCCTCATGAATAGCGACGGATCTGATGATGGAACGCTCTTGAAGCTGATTGGCCGCTGTGTGACACCATTTGGTGAGTATGTACAAGGCACCAATAAATATTCAACTGACTCTTCCAAGGAAAACGTCTCTTCCGCATCTGGCTGTGCATGCCATTACGTGAAATCAAGCAAATCAACGACAGGTAAGCATATTTACATATGCCAGTAGATTGGCCTCTCAAACTTGGTATAGACTAGACGCGGTTGAAGAAATTATGGCCCATGACACCTTTTCAGCAGACTTTTTCAACCTTGTCAAAGGAGTACCTGACCTGGAACGGATTGTATCGCGCATTCATGCTGGTACCTGCAAAGTCAAAGATTTCCTCAAAGTCCTAGATGTGCGTCATTCATTGCAATCAACTGCCTGTTCTAATCCCCCACAGTCATTTAAAAAGATCAATAATGGTCTGGCCGAACTGGCTGACACGGCATCCACCTTTGAGACGAGCAGCATAGCTGGACTGTTGCGTTCGACAGAGGATCTCAAACCGTACCTCAAGAAAGTCAAGAAAATGTTTAAACCTCCACCTGAAGACTCTTTCGAAATGGTACCAGAGCCTGGTATTAACGAGGACTATGATGCCGTAGCTGAAGAGATGAGAGAGATCGAGGGGGAACTAGAAGAACGCCTGAAAAAGCTCTCCAAAACGACGGGGTAGGTGCCCTACTAAACTTGGTGAAAGATTTTCTAATCATGCTGCAGTGCAAACTTGGAATATTGGCACAGTGCGACAGGCCTCAAAGACATTTACATGGTCCAAGTGAACGCCTCCGACAAGAAAAAGGTACCCAAAGACTGGCAAAAACACAATGAGACCAAAGCCAAGTCCCGTTACAACGTCCCCGAGCTCGGCACTCTGATCCGCAAACTGAAGGAAGCGCGCGAGAACGAAAAGACAGCTATCAAAGCCTTTACGGCTCAACTCTTTGCCGCGTTCGACGAGGATCGCGACGTGTGGTTACGCGCTATACGCGTGACCGCCGAACTCGACTGTCTGATCGGTCTCGCCAAGGCATCCTCGGCCATCGGCACCCCCAGCTGTCGCCCCCAATTCGTAGAGAGCGACGAAGCATTTGTCGAATTTACAGAACTAAGGCACCCGAGTATCGCCATGACGTTGGGGGCCAAGGAGAGCAAAGACTTTATTGCGAATGATGTAGCGTTGGGGAGTGCAAAGCCGAGGATCATGTTATTGACCGGTCCGAATATGGCGGGTAAATCTACGTTGATGCGGCAGACATGTGTAGGTGTTATCATGGCCCAGATGGGCATGTACGTGCCTGCTAGCAGTGCAAAGTGAGTTTTCTTTTCCCTTCTTCAAATGAGACGTGAGCTGACTTTTGTTAGGTTGTCTCCCGTGGATGCTATTTTGACGAGGATGGGTGCATACGACAACATGTTTTCCAACTCGTCCACGTTCAAAGTCGAACTGGACGAATGTTGCAAGATCATTCGAGAGGCGACTCCCAAATCACTCGTGATTCTCGACGAACTCGGAAGAGGAACGTCGACGTTTGATGGGATTGCGATCGCGAGTGCGGTACTCCATCACCTCTCGACGCACACACTCGCGCTCTCTTGTTTCGCCACTCATTATTCGTCGCTCACAAATGATTACGACTACCATCCGAATATCCGCACGATGCACATGGCCACTGCGTTTGACGATGACAGGCGAGAGCTCATCTGGTTGTACAAGCTAGTAGAAGGCGTCGCACCTTCCTCATTTGGTACACACGTAGCCAGTCTTGCAGGTGTTCCTGAGGATGTGGTAAAGAGGGCAGACGTGGTGTCCAATGACTTTGCTCGGCAGTTCGCGGCGCGTTTGGCGGGTCGTACGGTCGGTCGTGTGCCCGTGTCTGCGCAGGCAGATCTTGCCTACTTGGCCAAGTTAGTCCAAGGCACGCTCAAGTTGGATGATAACCAAGTGCGAAAGAGAGAGACGCTCAAGATCCTCAAGACTGCCGCCACTCGTTATGGTACGATGGCATAATGACTTCTAATGTTCTATACTGTTCCTCTAGTTCTTGCGTTGACCGCTGATTATGTCTTGTATCATATCTTGTTCACTCGTGTACATACTTCTACAGTTGATGCTAGCGCCATTTTACAGTGTGATGGCGAGGTCGGGGTAAAACAGACGGCTTCGGTGCTGATAAGCTCCGATCCGCTCCCCAATCTCTACTAAATGCATCTTGATATTAAATCCAGGAGTGGCAGGTGTGCCAACCTCGATGTTGAATGGAGCCACCCAGGCCGCTCTAACCAAAAGATGCAAAACGTGGAGGCGCAAGTCCACCCACAATCCTACTCTCCACCAAACTCGACTATGTTGTGTGCTGATTTTTTTTCCCTTTTTGCTGTAGATCCACTTGGGGAAGTGTATCTGATAACCCCTTTTCCCATTACGTATATTCGATCGGTTAGAATGTATCCGGATACGACAGAGATATGTCTGAATGGATGGTGTGCTCATGAATAGCAGATGGTGAACTACCGAAAATGGTCCACCGTTCAGCCAATCAGCACGGTCCGAACCACCGACGCCGTTCTGTTCTTCACAAGTAAGACGATGGGATTATCCGCAGGAGAAACAGGTGCGAGCTTGAGTCAGCCTCTTGAACCCGACCACCCCCACTGATACAAATCGACGTGCTAGCCCAAAAAACCAGCACGCAAAAAATCGTCACCGACTCGTGATCTATCGAGTGTCATAAAACACATCCTTCAATCCTTTGCAAAAATGAGTGAAGAGTCGGTTCTTCATGGTACGAGGATTTTCGTCGTCCCGTTTCTTGCTTATCCATCACCCAATCTCCCCTGTTCTTCCCGCCGCCACTCTCTTCCTCGTCACACTCCCCCCCGCCTCTTCTCACAACCATTTGTTGACATAAAACGTCGCATTAACAGGGCTCAATATTGATGAAGATGCCATTCACAACGATCTCCACCGCTCATCCGGCGCGGCCAGCAGCGTCAACCGGGACCTCGAACTAGCCATGTGGACCAACCTTCATTTCCCAGAAGAACCAATTTTCTCTCCCGAACGTGACCAAGCGTCAAAGAGCAGGCACAAACTCGTCG